TACTGATGTAGTGTTCAGACTTGACATAAAGGAGGTTGTCTAACCTTTTCAGGATATAATATAGATCCCTGTATAGACTGCAATTGAGTTGGATTTATATAAGATACACCTGTGCACAAACCCAGGTCAAGATAATTATTAAAAACATATGTATTAAATCCCATAAAATATAAAAAAGTGGACATAAAAACATTTTTATCTGGACCTGGATTAAGTTCAATATTTCCAATGACTAAAATAATATTAAACAGAAGTCTTAAATGTTGTTTCYGACTGGTTAAAACAGAGTCTGTTATATCCGTGCCTTTAGCACAAATGTCTTTTGTCCACTGATGAAAAACAGTAACATAGGCTGAAATTACTACCTGATCAGGTGAGGTTCTGAAGCCAGTCAGTAGCTTGCTGTTCTTTTCTTCGCTGAATGGCGCACATTTCAAGGCTTGAATAACATGGTTCCCACCATGTCGGACACGAGCATACCCACCAAAACCAGCAGCTCCAGTTTGATCCTCAACCGAAAAACAGGGCACGGCTGATATTGATCCAAATAGGCAACAGGGAAGCTGGTACGCCTCACTTGTTAGATTAGTCGCTCCGTCCCGGCTYCCACCRCCACGYGTCCAGGCCGGCAAGTCGACCCCAGGCGCTCCGTCCAAACTCGAGGGACAATCCGAGGGCTGAGGGACTCCATCCACATCYGCYACTCCACCGAGACAYGCCGCAACAGCAGCAAGCCAGAGAAACCAGCCCAACCAGCAAGGTAGATATTTACCAACGTTAGGATAACTTATGGTCGATGCTTGTATACACGCCATAGGACGCTTGTGTGCTGTTGTTTTTCAAAAATGATGTCCGTCGTTTGCGTCTTTGATCTTCCGTTTATGTAGCATACAGAGTAACAGCAACACTAAAGCTGAGGTAAATTTGATCAAAAACAGACCTGCAGATGCCTGTAAAGCCAAATGRGATGTATTTTCCTGCAGCGATACTGCACAGCTACATACATCTGCCGCCACCACTGCCATCTTGGATCTTGGATGGGAGTTGCACATAGGAATGGCTCGGTAACAAATTTTGCTGAACGATAATTTGTCTCAGAAATGATCACGATAAATGAGAATACACCTCTGCTCTCCGCTTACCGAGCTTGTGGAAGTTTACGTAGTGTCGAAAAAAACCCTCTCAGTGCTAAGGAGTAGAAAAGAGACACGAAGAAAACRAAGCAGGCAAAAGAAAATGATCAACCTCATTTGAATCGTGCGATGAATTGGTTTATCACTTTTCGGGACAGGCCTGGTTCCATGTTAGTGTGCTCAATAGGACAAGATGAGCTAAACTAACAACATCTTCTGCTGTTGGACCAGACTGGCCGCTCCACATTCCTCCAAAACAGCCCCCACCACCGCACGGGCTGAAAAATCCTGTATGAAATTTAGGGGTGGCATTGAACAGGAGGGTTAGATTTTTATGCTTTTTAAGCTAAAAAAAAAGTGGGGAAGGCATCAATTTTGTAGCACATTATACATGCACATATCCGGAAAATATCCCCTCTGCAACAGCTTGGGATTCTCCAGGAGCGGGAGAGTGTTGCAGAAGAGAGGGATGTCTGAGTTCCTCTCTGGACCTGTTGCCTCTGCAGCAAGACTACTGATAAGCAGCAGCAGATGGAGATGAATATAATTAGTTATTGGCCTGAAGGAGAGTGAAAAAAAGCAGCCAATGAATAAAGTGAAACAGGGAAAGACTTTCAGCCTGAAGACCTATTAAGTAAAAGATGACAAGAAAATATGACTCATTGAAAGCAAAGTATAAAGAAGTTGGGAGACTTCTGCACCTTAAAGGCACAGTGTGTAGGATTTTGTCAATTCTTTTAGCCGAAATTGAGATAATCACTAATGACAATAATAAAAAAACATGTCTAATCATTGCAGACAAAGACCTTGTTTTATTATTTTTACCTTATAAAAAGCTGTTTATATCTCCATGGTCGCGGATAAAGGCAGCCACCATCTCGCACCGGCATCTTGTCTACGAAGGCTCATGAAGGACAAACTGCGGTGGCA